CGTGGAGACTCATGGAGACTCGTGGAGACTCGTGGAGACTCGTGGAGACACGTGGAGACTCGTGGAGACTCGTGGAGACTCGTGGAGACACGTGGAGACACGTGGAGACACGTGGAGACACGTGGAGACAATTGGAGACAATTGGAGACTCGTGGAGACACGTGGAGACTCGTGGAGACACGTGGAGACACGTGGAGACACGTGGAGACTCATGGAGACTCGACCCATATGCTAAGCAATTCTTTTTCCTCATATATCCAACCCCAACAGATGACGTGCGTCTAAACAACGCTTGAAACAACCCAACAACCTCTCCTCAGTTACGTCACCTGGCAACGTGTTCCATATATCAACAACCCGATTACCAAATCAATATTTCCTTAAGTTTTTTCTGAATCTCAAGTTGTTCACTTTTTGTTCACTGAATCGTGTTCTGTTTTATGTTGAAGTGTTCAATGTTAACCCTTAGAGTGCTAATCACCCCCCACTGAACATTGCTTGAACGTGTTCACTTGTAGTGAACATGGAGTGTGTTGGGATGGTTATCTTCAGGTTATCTTCAGATGATTTCGGGGCTTTTTAGTGTCCCCGCGGCCCGGTCCTTGACCAGGCCTCCACCCCCAGGAAGCAGCCCGTGACAGCTGACTAACACCCAGGTACCTATTTTACTGCTAGGTAACAGGGGCATAGGGTGAAAGAAACTCTGCCCATTGTTTCTCGCCGGCGCCTGGGATCGAACCCAGGACCACAGGATAACAAGTCCCGCGTGCTGTCCGCTCGGCCGACCGGCTCCCTGGGATGTGGCTGTTGCCTTGGTTGATACCTGATCAACCAGGCTGTGATTCATACGTCTGGCTGCGAACAGCCGCAACCAACAGCCTGGTTGACCAGACTTATCAACCAGAAAGCCTGGTCGGAGATCGGGCCGCGGGGACGTTGACACCCGGAACGACCTTCGTCCTCTTAAGGTCTCTGGCTCCATTTTATTACAAAAACATTTCAATTTTATCTATTTTATTTCAAAATAAATCAATTTTATTGATTTATTCAGATTCCGGTGATAGGAGTCAAGGAACCTAAAAGCTAAGGGAACCTGAACCACTGAAAATTAGCAGGTGAAGCGTATCCTGACTGGTCAGTGTTTACACGTTTTCACACTTGTAAAAACCCCGAATTGTTTACCAATATCTCTAAGCACCCGGTCAAGGAAAAAATAAAAAGATTCGGAACCTCTGGACTGTGTGAACCTGTGGGTTGGACCTGTGGTTTGGACTTGGGGTTTGGACTTGGGGTTTGGACTTGGGGTTTGGACTTGGGGTTTGGACTTGGGGTTTGGACTTGAGGTTTGGACTTGGGGTTTGGACTTGGGGTTTGGACTTGGGGTTTGGACTTGGGGTTTGGACTTGAGGTTTGGACTTGGGGTTTGGACTTGGGGTTTGGACTTGGGGTTTGGACTTGGGGTTTGGACTTGTGGTGTTGTCCTCTGTGGTGATGGGGGAATGTCTGGTGTTGTCCTCTGTGGTGATGGGGGAATGTCTGGTGTAGTCCTCTGTGGTGGTGGTGGAATGTCTGGTGTTGTCCTCTGTGGTGGTGGGGGAATGTCTGGTGTTGTCCTCTGTGGTGGTGGGGGAATGTCTGGTGTTGTCCTCTGTGGTGGTGGTGGAATGTCTGGTGTTGTCCTCTGTGGTGGTGGGGGAATGTCTGGTGTTGTCCTCTGTGGTGGTGGTGGAATGTCTGGTGTTGTCCTCTGTGGTGGTGGTGGAATGTCTGGTGTTGTCCTCTGTGGTGGTGGTGGAATGTCTGGTGTTGTCCTCTGTGGTGGTGGGGGAATGTCTGGTGTTGTCCTCTGTGGTGGTGGTGGAATGTCTGGTGTTGTCCTCTGTGGTGATGGGGGAATGTCTGGTGTTGTCCTCTGTGGTGATGGTGGAATGTCTGGTGTTGTCCTCTGTGGTGGTGGTGGAATGTCTGGTGTTGTCCTCTGTGGTGATGGGGGAATGTCTGGTGTTGTCCTCTGTGGTGATGGTGGAATGTCTGGTGTTGTCCTCTGTGGTGATGGTGGAATGTCTGGTGTTGTCCTCTGTGGTGGTGGTGGAATGTCTGGTGTTGTCCTCTGTGGTGGTGGTGGAATGTCTGGTGTTGTCCTCTGTGGTGATGGGGGTCTCTGGCCAGGCCTCCTGGTTGCTGGACTGGTCAACCAGGCTGTTGAACGCGGCTGCTCGCAGCCTGACGTATGACTCACAGCCTGGTTGATCAGGTATCCTTTGAATACTTTTAAAAGTCTTGGGCTGACAGCTGGATGGACAGCGCTTCGGATTCGTAATCCTGAGGTTTCGGGTTCGATCCCCGGTGGAGGCAGAGACAAATGGGCCAAGTGTTTCTTTCACCCTGATGCCCCTGTTCACCTAGCAGTAAATAAGTTCCTGGGAGTTAGACAGCTGCTACGGGCTGTTTCCTGGTGGAGTGTAACGAAAAGGAGGCCCTGCTCGAGGACCGGGCTGCAGGGACGCTAAGCCCCGAAATCATCTCAAGATAACCTCAAGATTGCACCTGTGCTTTTGAACGGGGCTATTGCTCTATAGTCGTAATGGCCTTTCGCTTTCCCCTGATAGTTCCCTTCTGGTCCATTGAGGACCACCCTTAGAGACCTTCTTGAAGGTAGTCTTTTATTAACTCTAAGATGGAGCCTGAGATGCCTAGTGCTTGAAGCTTCACTACTAATCAAATTCACTACTACTCTACTTCACTACTAATCAAATTCACTACTACTCTACTTCACTACTAATCAAATTCACTACTACTCTACTTCACTACTAATCAAATTCACTACTACTCTACTTCACTACTAATCAAATTCACTATTACTCTACTTCACTACTAATCAAATTCACTACTACTCTACTTCACTACTAATCAAATTCACTACTACTCTACTTCACTACTAATCAAATTCACTACTACACTACTTCACTACTAATCAAAACTACTCCAGAGTGCCAGACCCGACCACAGGCTCCTGCTGTGTCTAGAGCAACAACAACACAGCTCATCTTGTACTCATCCAGTGACTTATGCCACTTCTCCTATCTTGAGTTGATTTCGGGGCTCTTTAGTGTCCACGCGGCCCGGTCCTTGACCAGGCCTCCACCCCCAGGAAGCAGCCCGTGACAGCTGACTAACACCCAGGTACCTATTTACTGCTAGGTAACAAGGGCATTCAGGGTGAAAGAAACTTTGCCCATTTGTTTCTGCCTCGTGCGGGAATCGAACCCGCGCCACAGAATTACGAGTCCTGCGCACTGTCCACCAGGCTACGAGACCGCTTAGAGCAAAGATTACAGTAAATTAAAAGTTATTCAATTTCAATCAAACTTCCTTTTACTAGTTGTATATAAGACGGGCTGCAACTGTGCAACACTTCAGTATCGCGCCCTAAATACAATGGGAGGATTTTGTTTTTCAACGAATTTTACACATTTTCAATGACTCATTACAATCATAAGTTTTAAATGATATTTCTATGATACTCATCTATCTCAATAGTATATAATAAAGGATTATCCAAAATATGTTTAGTTTTACTAATACAAATTGTCAAAGTTCCCCAAAATTTTTTTGCCAATATATCATGTTTGCAAATATTTATAAAATCAATAAATGAAGTTAGGAATAGAGTGTTTTATAGAGATTGTAGAGACGTTCACTCTACATATATGGTGTAAATTCCATGTAAATTGAAATACAAATGAAAGAGAAGTGTCAATTTTATGTTACTTGACAATAAATTAAGTCAAAGATTCTGCCACCTGTGGTTGGGGTTGACATCAGCCAATTTCCTCCAGAATTTGCACCCTTACAGATAGGCTTATGGTCTGTAAGGTGTACAAGTTTCATGCAAATCGACCGATACAAAAAAAAAGATAAACAAATTTGAAAAAAATATAATTTTTCTTTGTTCTGAATTTTTTTTGGCATAAAACTAAATATTAAAATACTTTATTATATGCTATTGTAATAGCTGAGAGTCATATACATGATTCCAGTTGACACTTGTGTTTGATGTTAATTTTTGACCATTTTGGAAATTTTTTGACATAATTCAATATTTTTGTCAACCTCCCTATTTATGCTACGATGCTGAGACTTGGACCAGTTGAACCCAGTTTCATATACAACTAGCCAAAAAAAGTTTTATTGAAATCGAACTAGTTTTCATTTATTGCATATTTTTGTAAAACGCCCCTGAGTGCAGAGGTTTACCAAGAGATCACCAGTGGATTAGCCTTTGCTAAAACCCATACTGTCGCTCACACAGGTGCCATAGCAGTCACATAGTAAAATTGGAGAATATTACTAGTAATGGAGTGCAGTGATACAGGTCTGTATTCACTATTTGTGCCTGCAGAATCGAGCAATTAGCTCTTGGACCCCGCCTTTCTAACCAATCTATTTTTCCTCTATTATGTCTACAACATACATTTCTCTAACACACACACTCATCCCCCCACCCACCCGAAGCAACCCGTAGCAGCCGTCTAACTCCCAGGTACTCATTTTATGCTGGTGAACAACGACATCAGGGTGAAAGAAAGTATGCCAATTTCTATCTGCCTTGACCGGGAATCGAACCCAGGCCCTCGGGACTACGACCCTCAAGTTCTGCAGAACAAGATCTGCCTTCTTCCTTAGGGGAAGGCAGATGGCAGGTTGCTTGCTAGCTGGAGGGAGCAACATTCCGTGGGGCGAGGCAGAGTTAGTAGAGGCACATGAGAAGTGGAGCCTCTCACATCAGCACAGCTGCCACCTCTATAACCTGCTACATTATACAGCTTGTTGTATAACCAGTTCAGTCATCTTCGACGTAGTGATTAGACGAGGTGGAGGTTGTTGGTCGTGATCAATGGCTTGCTTCTTGGTAGTGAAATGGTGAGCCAGTAGATCACTATCATTCTCACCACCACCCTCACCATCACTCTCATCACCACCACTCTCTCCCCCTTCAGAGGACGACGAGCCCCCAGCTGCAGCTAGCCCCGTCCATAGAGCAGCAGGCGGCGGCCATGTTGTCCATCCTGCAGCGGTATTCATGGCCCAAGTTCGCGGTGGTGACGTCCCTCATCGCGGGCCACAACGACTTCATCCAGGCCCTGCGGGACCTCATGCTGGAGCTGCCTAACAAGGGCTCCGGCCAGGAGTAAGTGTTGCTTCTAGTTCCTAGTAGGGATATTTACGCCTACGACCGTGCGCGGCACCTGGGCAGGTGGTGTGCACAGTCGTCGGCGTCAAGGGGTGAAAATATGTACACGGTAACTTCTTCCCTTTTTGTGTGATAGAGCGAATGAATTTTGATGAATAGTGAGAGGAGTGACGTGGAAGTCCCTCCCTCCCTCAGGTGAGGATAGGAGTGGGAGGAGTTTAGCAGGAAGAAGAGATTTGTGAGAAGGTCCGCCCTCTAAGAGGTGTGTGTGTGTGTGGGGGGGGGGAGCAGTAATTGGGTGATCGATGCTGATTGCTATCGGCAGGTAGAAGGGTATGGTCGGCGGGTGATTAAGGCAGGAGCCGGTTGGGAGGAATGTTTGTTGAGATGAGGGGGGGGGGGAGACACACACATACACACACTACACACAACATACACAGTGGAAAGGAGGGTTAGATGACAGGTGTAACCTTAGGGGTGTGATGAGATACTCATGGTGACGCTAGTGGTGGATACGTAGAGGGCCAGCCGCCGCCGTCACTGCCGCCCGCCATCCATCGCCCCGCTGCCCACTGCTTCCCACTGATCAGTGGGGCGGCCGCCACCCAGCACTTCCATTTACCGCCGTATCAGCATGCGTGCGCACTGGTCAGAGGGTGCCAGGACACTGAACTATAATTTTGTTGGAGGACCATAAAGTATGGTCTGACAGCTGTGTGGACAGTGCTTCGGATTCGTAGTCCTGAGGTTCCCGGTTCGATCTCCGGTGGAGGCGGAAACAAATGAGCAGAGTTTCTTTCACCCTGATTCGCCTGTTAACCTAGCAGTGAATAGGTACCTGGGAGTTAGACAGTTGCTACAAGCTGCTTCTTGGGGGTGTGTAACAAAAACGAGGCCTGGTCGAGGACCGGGGCGCGGGGACGCTAAACCCTGAAATCATCTCAAGATAACTTCAAGATAGATGGGGGCGGGGAGAGGGTAGGAGGAGGATTGCTAATTGGTTAAGAGGCTGAGTAGTGGTGTGTTGATATCTATCATTAGGACCAATCAGCATCTCTTTAGAGGGGGTCCCGCACGAGTGCCCATGGAGAGACAAGGCGGATAATTAGATGTTCACGCCGGGGCAAAGGTTAATAGAGCCACTCTTACCAGAATCACGAGGTCTATATCTTTTAAAACACACAATCCCTCTTGTAGATACCTTCAGACAGACGGATAAACAGACAGATAGACAGACAGAGTGAGGAGCAGGTGTTTTAGAAGGATGAGGAGATGAGAGCGAGTGGTCTATCCTAAATGAGCTTCACCCACACACACTGAGACTGTCAACACCTTGTTATTATGTTAACTACTCTTAATGTTGATGAGCTACCGGAGCTCATCAACACCCATCTACACCTCAGAAGGGAGTGGAGAGCGATACGTATGTTTTCACCGAGACCTCCTGGTGAAGTGTTGGGATATTAGCTGGATGGTCAGAGGTTTGCCTACCTGTCAGACACCGCTTCAACCCGTCAATCACCCCACGTGACCATATTCCTCTGGACACACACACACACACACACACACACACACACACACACCCATAAAAGGTTGATGCATAAGCTGGAGAAACAGGCAGGAGTAACTGGTAGGGCGCTCCAGTGGATAAGGGAGTACCTAAGCAATAGGAAGCAGAGAGTTATAGTGAGGGGTGAGACCTCAGACTGGCGTGAAGTCACCAGTGGAGTCCCACAGGGCTCTGTGCTTGGACCTATCCTGTTTCTGATATACGTAAATGATCTTCCAGAGGGCATAGACTCATTCCTCTCAATGTTTGCTGACGACGCCAAAATTATGAGAAGGATTAAGACAGAGGAGGACAGCTTGAGGCTTCAAGAAGACCTGGACAAGCTGCAGGAATGGTCGAACAAATGGATGTTAGAGTTTAACCCAAGCAAATGTAATGTAATGAAGATAGGGGTAGGAAGCAGGAGACCAGATACAAGGTATCACTTGGGAGATGAAATACTTCAAGAGTCAGAGAGAGAGAAAGACCTGGGGGTTGATATCACGCCAGACCTGTCCCCTGAAGCTCATATCGAGAGGATAACATCAGCAGCATATGCCAGGTTGGCTAACATAAGAACGGCCTTTAGAAACTTGTGTAAGGAATCTTTCAGAACATTATATACCACATATGTCAGACCAATCCTGGAGTATGCGGCACCAGCATGGAGTCCATATCTAGTCAAGCATAAGACTAAACTGGAAAAGGTTCAAAGGTTTGCCACCAGACTAGTACCCGAGCTGAGAGGTATGAGCTACGAGGAGAGACTACAGGAATTGAACCTCACTTCGTTGGAAGACAGAAGAGTTAGGGGGGACATGATCACCACATTCAAGATTCTCAAGGGAATCGACAGGGTTGATAAAGACAGGCTATTTAACACAAGGGGCACACGCACTAGGGGACACAGGTGGAAACTGAGTGCCCAAATGAGCCACAGAGATATTAGAAAGAACTTTTTTAGTGTCAGAGTGGTTGACAAATGGAATGCATTAGGCAGCAATGTGGTGGAGGCTGACTCCATACACAGTTTCAAGTGTTGATATGATAGAGCCCAATAGGCTCAGTAACCTGTACACCTGTTGATTGACAGTTGAGAGGCGGGACCAAAGAGCCAGAGCTCAACAGAGTGTGTTGCAGAGTCTGCTGACATGTGTGGTGCAGTGTCTGCTGGGATGTGTGTTGCAGAGTCTGCTGGGATGTGTGGTGCAGAGTCTGCTGGGATGTGTGTTGCAGAGTCTGCTGGGGTGTGTGTTGCAGAGTCTGCTGGGATGTGTGTTGCAGAGTCTGCTGGGATGTGTGTTGCAGAGTCTGCTGGGGTGTGTGTTACAGAGTCTGCTGGGATGTGTGTTACAGAGTCTGCTGGGATGTGTGGTGCAGTGTCTGCTGGGATGTGTGTTGCAGAGTCTGCTGGGGTGTGTGTTGCAGTGTCTGCTGGGATGTGTGTTGCAGAGTCTGCTGGGATGTGTGTTGCAGAGTCTGCTGGGATGTGTGTTACAGAGTCTGCTGGGATGTGTGTTACAGAGTCTGCTGGGATGTGTGGTGCAGTGTCTGCTGGGATGTGTGTTGCAGAGTCTGCTGGGATGTGTGTTGCAGAGTCTGCTGGGGTGTGTGTTGCAGATTCTGCTGGGATGTGTGTAACAGAGTCTGCTGGGATGTGTGTTGCAGAGTCTGCTGGGATGTGTGTTGCAGTGTCTGCTGGGATGTGTGTTACAGAGTCTGCTGGGATGTGTGTTACAGAGTCTGCTGGGGTGTGTGTTGCAGAGTCTGCTGGGATGTGTGTTGCAGAGTCTGCTGGGATGTGTGGTGCAGAGTCTGCTGGGATGTGTGGTGCAGTGTCTGCTGGGATGTGTGTTGCAGAGTCTGCTGGGATGTGTGTTGCAGAGTCTGCTGGGGTGTGTGTTGCAGAGTCTGCTGGGATGTGTGTAACAGAGTCTGCTGGGATGTGTGTTGCAGAGTCTGCTGGGATGTGTGTTGCAGTGTCTGCTGGGATGTGTGTTACAGAGTCTGCTGGGATGTGTGTTACAGAGTCTGCTGGGGTGTGTGTTGCAGAGTCTGCTGGGATGTGTGTTGCAGAGTCTGCTGGGATGTGTGGTGCAGAGTCTGCTGGGATGTGTGGTGCAGTGTCTGCTGGGATGTGTGTTGCAGAGTCTGCTGGGATGTGTGTAACAGAGTCTGCTGGGATGTGCGTTGCAGAGTCTGCTGGGGTGTGTGTCGCAGTGTCTGCTGGGACGTGTGTTGCAGAGTCTGCTGGGATGTGTGTTTCTGGGATGTGTGTTATAGTGTGTGATGAACCATGTCCATTACGTATAAGATGAGACGGGACTATACTATAGTGCTTCTCCCTTACGTCGCTAGCTTAAGGCAGGAAATATGGCAGTGTCTCACTAACTTATATTACGTGAGACCGTACATCAATCTCTAATTGTAGAGGGGCTGCTGAAGAAGTAGAGAATACAGTCCCCAATATTCACGACAACTGCACAAGGAACTTTGCATAATCTGAAATACATCACAAGATGATCCAATCCCCTCTACACGATGTACTCTACATGCAACCCGTTCTCGCAAATTTAATAAGTCAATATTGACTTATTAAATATGTGCATAGGTGACATACTTAACATAATAGTTTCCCTTGAAAAGCTTCATAGAAAACACCGACCTTACCTAACCTAACCTAACCTAACCTATACCTATAATAGGTTAAGTAACAATTGTAATTACGAAGCTATAAGATGCTTATTTTAACATACTAAGTAGGTTAGGTAAGGTCGGTGTTTTCTATGAAGCTTTTCAAGGGAAACTATTATGTTTAGTATGTCACCTATGCACGCAACTAATAAGTCAATATTGACTTATTAAATTTGCGAGAACGGGTTGCTACATGTCTCGTGCTGACCACATATAGCAAGGAGGTCCTGGTAATTGAGTATCAAATAAAAAATCATTACCCCCCAAACACACCGAAACTACGATATTGGCACAAAGTTCAAACAAGTTTTAACACCTAACCAGATATAACAACCAATATAGCAAGTTGTAACAACGTTCTAATACGTCATAAACACGTTAAGCCAAGATGTAACAACTTTATTACAAGTTGTAACAAGCGGAAAATAGAGACAGTTACGGTTTGTGTTTCCAGGGAACAGACGTGGCTCTCCTGTGTATGGAGGGTTTAGGGGTCAGCTTGTGAATTACTCTACGGACACATCCCGCCACATTTTGATATCACACTACTCTACGGACACGTCCCGCCACATTTTGATATCAAACTACTCTACGGACACGTCCCGCCACATTTTGATATCAAACTACTCTACGGACACGTCCCGCCACATTTTGATATCAAACTAATCTACAGACACGTCCCGCCACATTTTGATATCAAACTACTCTACGGACACGTCCCGCCACATTTTGATATCAAACTAATTTACGGGCA